TAGGTGTTATTCGGTATTCGACGAATAACTAAAAATGTCGAGTAATGCCGAATACCGAATAATAGCGAGCATTCGCGGCATCTGTACTGTGTAGACAATTAAAAAACAAGTTAATTACGGTCATATTTCCTCTACAATATAATATTGCATTATAATGCTATACAAATTAAGCCGTAACCACGTAAACGTTATTGTTTCCTATAATAATAAATGAAAATGAAAGCGAGTACATAATAAACTAATTGATTTAAACACACCGTTTCAAATTTACTGTATAAGTAAAAACAATAAACTCTTTAAAATTTGTATAAATAGCTATTTGTTAATGATTAAATAAAACAAATATATTTAATACTAAAAAATCACAGGAAATACAAAATGGTTATATACGTCATTATATCCTTAAAGGCTAGGGAGATACTTAACTATTATGACTGTAATGTTATTTTTATTTTAGTTTAGTGAACTAAAAATAACAACTTGTTTGATTCAATGACTAATTTGGGGTAATACAATAGCCGTGGACTTCTGATCTGACGCTTTTGCATATCTTTCACATATTTTTTGTAACCTACTTAATTGCATTGATATTCAATAAAATTAATTAAATATGCAATAAGAAAACTACGTAGATACCGAATTTAATGTAAGATAAAATACTGAAATACTCAAAAATTTCATTTTTTAAATAATAAAATATATTGCGTTTTTGCATTGTTACCACTTGTAAATAATATTGTGTTTGTATTGATGCAAACTGTACAATATATGTAATATTTACGTACAATAAGAGAGACTAATCAGTAACTGGTCTAAAACTGTTTACAATTATTCTACCTGGCACAATCGTGAGCTTTCGAGGATAAAATCCACTTTCATAGTTTACCATTGGACATTAAACCCTGCTCAATTTATCACTTGGTTATCTCCGCCACAGCTTTGCGCTTCGTCTAGGCCTCCGCGCCTTCTGTAAACAAATGACATTTATTTTATATTAATTTTGCATGTTATTCATTAATTTACATATTAATACTGCATGTTGTTATTAACTTTGATTAAATTATTAATTAATAATCATTTAAATTTTGATCAAAACATGTTAAACAAAAAAAATCATATTGCTGTTTGGCTCATTTTGGCTCGTTCAGCGAGTGAAGTGCAGAATAAAACGACAGTCGCCTAACGATATTAATATTAATACTGCGAAAACTAGGCTACTAACATAACCTATAAATCGAAGGCATTTAAGAAAATATTTCTCCAAGTGTTGATTCTGAGCTATATATGGCTGTTCCGTTGGCACGTCTGGTTTACTAAATAGGGCAATATCGGTTACTCTGGTTATATTGCGAATATCATCGTTACGGATTCTGTCACGCAGGGTAATTATTTTTCTCAATATATCACATAACGAGAAGTTTTAAAAAAGTTCAAAAGTGAGTTACAATCAGATTTATAAATAAAAATAAAATGTAATGAACAAAATTTTATTTTTATTCATATTAACATTTATTTTCATAACATAGCATCTCAATGCTCCTGTGTTTCGTATGGTGAGTGTAGAGAACCGGAGACCCTTTTTACTGGAAACGGGACATTTCATCTTAGTCCTCAGGAGTAGTAACGCATTTGCATTTTGATTCTTAATTGAGGATAGATGTAGATGCCTTTGGGCCACAGCATCCACTTACCGTGCCGTGTAGTGGCGGTCAAGAATATCCACTACCCCATATCCTCCCGTGGGTGTCGTAAAAGGCGACAAAGGGAAACAGCCAGGAGATGGGCAGCAGCATCTTCCTGATAATAGCCAAATGACAATAAAAAAACTGCGGTTGCCAACCCGCTCGCCAAGCGTGGCAACTATGGCAAATAACCCCCCAATGATGAGAGCAACAAAAAAACGGCCCCCAGTCCCCGGCGGCCCCGCTATTCCTGGCTACGGTGGCGACCATGGTAACGGCGGGGCAGGGGGTGCTAAGAATCTCCGGTGGAGGTTCGGTTGCCACCTTAGACGACTCGACCTGGCAACGTACAACGCACGCACCCTGAGGACTGATGAGAAGATCGTGGAGCTGGAAGAAGAGATAGACAAGTTGCGCTGGCATATTATAGGATTATCTGAAGTCCGAAGAGAGGGGGAGGACACGGTAATCCTCGAATCCGGCAACTTGCTCTATCACCGGGAGGGCGACCATCTGTCCCAAGGAGGTGTCGGATTTATCGTCCACAAGTCTCTCGTTAACAACGTTGTAAAAATCGGGAGTGTATCGACGAGGGTTGCGTACCTTATACTCAGAATCACCAAACGGTATTCGCTGAAGGTCATACAGGTTTACGCACCAACCTCGGCACACCCCGATGAGGAGGTGGAGGAAATGTATGAGGATATCTCTAGAGCCATGCATTCCTCCAAAACCCAATATACGGTGTTAATGGGAGACTTCAATGCAAAACTAGGCACAAGAGAGAACGGTGAGCTGAAAGTAGGGAAATTTGGAATAGGGCAACGGAACCCAAGGGGCCAGCAGCTGGCCGACTTCATGGAGAAAGAGGGACTCTTTATGATGAACTCTTTCTTCCAGAAGCGGCCCCACAGGAAGTGGACCTGGTCGAGCCCCGACGGTTCCACAAAAAATGAGATTGACTTCATTATGACGACCAGACGACAACTGTTCAGTGATGTCTCCGTGATCGCGAGGGTGAAAACTGGTAGCGATCACCGAATGGTTAGAGGCACACTGAACCTAAACGTTAAGTTGGAGAGGTCTCGTTTAATGAAGTCAACGCTCCGTCCCCCTCGTGCTCTGTTTCAAAGTGCCGAAACCTTTCAGCTCGAGTTACAAAACCGTTTTCAGTGCCTAGAAGACTGCAATGAAGTGGACGATATGAATGACAAGCTCGTGGAAACTGTCCATGCGGTTGGAGCTAAGTTCTGCAAGACCCGCCGCAGAAGAACACAAAAACTCTCCGATCACACTCTTAATCTCATGGCTGTTAGACGGGAGATGAAGCTACATTCTTCAACAGACTTGACAGCATACAGGCATCTGAACAGACAGATCTCCAAATGCATGCGGCGGGACTTACGCAACTTCAATACAGCTCGTATTGAAGAAGCGATCGAGCGGAACCAAGGCTCCAAAGTCTTTGCCAGAGATCTGTCTGCCAGAAAGAGCCAACTGTCAAAGCTGAAGACAGAATGTGGCAGCATCGTTTCCGGGACACCTGAGATTTTGAGTGAGATTGAGTGGTTCTATGGGCAGCTGTACACATCATCGTTGGAGCCACACGCAAGTGTAACGATCCAAGAGCGAGTCTCATCCGACACTATTCCGAAGATATCCCGGATGTCAGTCTGAGCGAGATTAGGATGGCTCTCCAGCACCTTAAAAACGGTAAGGCCCCAGGCGAGGATGGAATTACAGCGGAGCTTCTGAAAGCGGGTGGAAGACCGGTACTTGAAGTCCTTCAGAAGCTCTTTAATTCCGTCCTCCATGGTGGCATTACACCGGAGGCGTGGAGCAGAAGTGCGGTGGTCTTGTTCTTCAAGAAAGGTGACAACGCTCTCTTGAAGAACTACAGACCGATTTCCCTTCTGAGCCGCGTCTACGTGCTGTTTTCGAGAGTCATTACGAATCGTCTCGCGCGCAGACTTGACGACTTCCAGCCTCCCGAACAAGCCGGTTTCCGAAAGGGCTTTAGCACCATAGACCACATACATACCCTTCGGCAAGTTGTACAGAAGTCCGAAGAGTACAATTTGCCACTATGTCTGGCGTATGTGGACTATGAGAAAGCCTTTGATTCCGTCGAAATTTGGGCGGTGCTGCAGTCCCTTCAGCGGTGCCAAGTTGACTGTCGGTATATCGAAGTGTTGAAGTGCTTGTACAGTAGGGCTACGATGGCTATCCGAGTACAGAACCAGAGTACGAAACCTATCCAATTGCAGAGAGGTGTAAGACAGGGTGACGTCATATCCCCGAAACTCTTCACCGCTGCATTGGAAGACGTTTTCAAGCTTCTGGACTGGAAAGGATACGGTATCAACATCAATGGCGAGTACATCACTCACCTTCGATTTGCCGACGATATAGTCCTTATGGCAGAATCGCTGGAGGACCTAAGCACTATGCTCAATGACCTCAATAGTGTTTCCCAACGGATAGGTCTTAAGATGAACATGGACAAAACTAAGATCATGTTTAATGTCCATGTCACACCTATGCCGATAGTTGTTGGGAACACTAAGCTCGAAGTTGTTGACGAGTATGTTTGCCTGGGACAAATAGTCCGACTGGGTAAGTCCAACTTCGACCGAGAGGTCAATCGACGGATTCAACTCGGCTGGGCAGCGTTCGGGAAGCTACGACACATCTTCTCGTCAGACATACCTCAAAACCTTAAAACGAAATTGTACAACCAGTGCGTGTTGCCAGTGATGACTTACGGAACTGAGACGTGGTCCTTCACTGCTGGCCGTATGAGGAAGCTCAAGGTCGCTCAGCGAGCTATGGAGAGGGCTATGCTCGGAGTTTCTCTGCGTGATAAACTTAGGAATGAGGATATCCGCAGTAGAACCAGAGTGACCGACATAGCCCAACGGATTAGTAAGCTGAAGTGGCAGTGGGCCGGCCATATAGCTCGAAGAACCGACAACCGATGGGGAAGAAAGGTTCTCGAGTGGCAGCCTCGTACCGGTAGGCGAAGTGTAGGGCGTCCCCCCACGAGATGGAGTGACGATCTGGTAAGACATGCAGGAAGTCGATGGATGCAGGTGGCTCAGGACCGTGTTTTGTGGCATTCTTTGGGGGAGGTCTATGTTCAGCAGTGGACTTGTGAAGGGCTGTAATGATGATCCACTTACCATCAGGTGGACTGTTTGCTCGTTTGTCACCCTTATTCTATAAAAAAAAAATTAACACATGGAAATGTAAGTGTTAGCGCGTTGCACACGCACACACTTGCGCACACGCACCACACACACATAACACATTTTTTTACTAACCTGGAGTTAATGGATGATCTCGTAACATTGAGCCTGCAACACGAAAAATTAAAATAAATCAATTAATTACGTAAATTTCTTAAGTGAAAAATAACCTATTATGCTTTGTATAATATAGAATATCTATACTAAGAACTGTGTTTAAATACGGACATGCACTAAATAATTTTAGTCTACCAGAATTAACATTTTTGTTAAGAACTTTAACGTTCAACTTCTTAAATATGACATGACATATACAATATGTAACAAAAACCCTGTGGTTCCCGTAAGTACGTTATCAGGATCAGTATTCAAACCTAGTTCAAGTTTTTAAAAAAAAAGTTATTGCTATAAGTTTGAATACTGATCCTGATAACGTACTTAACGGGAACCACAGGGTTTTTGTTACATGTTGTATAGACATCTTTATCCATTTATAAGCCCAATGACTAATGCTATAGCCTTCTTATATTATAATCATTCAATAAATATCAATTCCCTTTATTTATCTTAGCTGTGTCATGCTTGTTTTTTCTTTAATATTGAATAACTAATGTTAATTAGTTATTTAATATTAAAGAAAAAACTATTCAATATTAAAATATACATTAAATATTAATAAACGAAAGAGCTTTAATGTATAGGACATTATCATGCAGATTACTTTGTTACAAATTATGGATAATACGGTCCCTTGACGTGCACAATAAGCATGCTTAATGGGATCTTACGTTTTTAATTTTTCTTATTTAGTAACAACATTTAAATACGGTAGTTATTTAAATATGAAATGATATTTTGGGTGGTAATGAAAAATAACAAATGAACATCGAAATGTAACATTCAACTGTACGTACGCAACATTGCGACGAAACTTTTGTAACATCGAAAGCAGCAAGCGAACGTTTTACCTATGCAGGCAGCCGACATGGACTAGCTCAGTACAGAATAGCATCAGAAAGTTGGTTACTGGTTAGTGCGGCGCCGGGGGTGATGCCCACGATGCTGCCGCCCACGCACGCCTCCACGCCCTCTGTCGAACCACCACCACGGTACAATCAACGACAAGCCTCAACAAAACATACTTAATCAACAAATGCCTTTTCCCAAAGATTATTGGATAAAATTATGTTATCTACGCTGATAAAATGATGATAAAGATGTTGAGACTTGTCTATTAGTCCACATCGTGATAAAATGAATAAATAATGAGATAAATTTGTATTACTTTTTGTGTTGTGTAACACTTTTTTCGAAGTATTTGTTATTTACTTACAAAATTATCTGATCACAGAAATAATTATGTCGCACTACTTTTGCCCTTATACTAGCTAGCTCGGCAGACATTGTTCTGCTCTTTCCGGTAGATGGCGTGATGAGTTTCAGTCCAGATTTTATAGTGTAAATATATGCAGTGCCATCTACCGGATGTTTTACCGAACACGCCAAATATGTAAAAATAATGTTATATGTTTTTACACTTTTAAGAAATAAACATTTCACTTTTTGTACCCATGCAAACGCTTAATTACAGGTGTTAGTCAATTTTGTACACAGTAGTCAAGAATATGACTAAATATCGATATCAATCTATCAATAGAAACAAAAAACTTATTTTAGGACACGTTTTAATATTAAAAAAATACCACAAAAATAAATATCTACCACAGCCTTATATCATGAAAGGAGTAATTATTTAATCAAAAATAAAAGGGAAAAAATAAAATATTTATTTGACAGAATACACGTTAGGAGATCTATGTAGATACGAGACGAGACGATCATTGACTATTGTCAATTCCATATGATTGATAATTGCTAATGATCGTATGTGAATTCACTGCTGAACATAGACGACCTCCCTCCACAATAGATTTTTTTAGCAGTGAACTTTGATATTATGCTGTAATGGATGGATTAATAAGCAACTGATGCATCGATCGAAACTACATCAATTACTTTTCATTTAGAGTAGTTGCCAGAAGCGAAGCGCACTGCCAATAGGGTAGTTAACACTTATCCTGTTAATTAAATTACAGATAGCGGTATCAATCGTGAGCAGGGAGTGATAGTAGTGTTTTATAGGATAAGGGTGACAAATGAGCACAAAGTCCACCTGATGGTAAGCGGTTGCTGTGGCCCATAGACATCTACATCTATCCTCGATTACGAATCAAAATGCAGATGCGTTGTCACCCGTGAGAACTAAGATGGAATGCCTCGTTTCTAGTAAAAAGGGTTTCCTGTTCTTTACACTCACCATACGAAACACAGCAGCGTTAAGCTGCTATTTTACGCTGGTATTCTGTGAGAGTGTGGTCCTTCCCGGTCGACACGACGCATTCGTGCTACAAGTATACCAGTAATATAGCTGCAGCATGGGTCTACCACGTAAAAAATTGTGTGTGAGCAAGTTTTCGTGCAAGGGAAAGACAAGTAAATAACTAATAGAGGACGACAATAAGATAACGGATTCATATAATTAATTGACTAGTGCGAAGGTGACGTTTGTGTTCACGATTTGTGCCGATAGATGTAAGTTGTGTCCATATACTTTTTATAAGCTATCAAATCAAATATCTTATTATGTATATTTTTTAATAACTATCGAACGAAATTTTGAGATAATACAAGTAGCTAATTAGAATTATGCGAAGTGTTAATTTATTAATTAAATATATATAAATACGTTAAGGGAAAGCTTTGTATTCTTAATAATCGTATGCGCAAATACGGAGGGGTGTGAGATATGGTAAAGTTAAAGTTTATATGGAGAAGAAGCGCTGAATCCTAAAGCTAATATATAACAATAATAATTATAATAAATACAAATAAAATAAAACATTCCTTGTTTACTTTCATACTGTTAATGTTATTTATCATACACAATAGTCAGTGGTCAAAAAATCGCACAGAGATTAGATTGTCGCTAAAGAATTTTAATACTTTCGCTGTCTCGTGCACTACATATAGGTTGTGCGTGCATTACATCTGTTGTGTCTGACAACTGGACAGTAAGTGTTAAAATAATTACTGAAAAATTGACTGAATGAACTGTGATTTTTGCGTGATTTCTTATGTTCATTTTTCAAGTTTGTGGAGTGTATGTTAAGGCGAAAAAGCGTTTATTTTATATTTTGTATATTAATGTGCACTTGGAAGTATAGACATTACATATATGTATATATACTGAGAGTTAAAAACTGTTTGTTCAATGTACGAATTTAAAAATTTATTGAATAACGATTGAATTTCGACAATTAGGCGACCACTGGTATGTATATATCAGTGGTCGCTAGTTATATAGCTAGCTATCTGTGTTAACCAGATTGATATCGGTAATCCCAAGGTTGTGAGCATTGAATTAATATTTACAACGTACAGGAACAGAAAACGCGAACAACAACTATGCGGCGGCGTTGATGGAGACACAGAGTATCTTTTTATGGCATTGATTAAGTAAGTTTAAGTGTGTTGCTAACAACCAAGTCTCGGCGTTTCTTCTAGTTACCGTTACCGATACAGCCTACTAAAGTCCACTGCCGAACATAGGCTTCCTCCATATATTGCCCCATTTGCCACGTTTGGCTAGCATTGTTATTACTATTATAGTATTCGTTATTACTATTATAGTTTTCGTTTTTACTATTATAGTTTTCGTTTTTACTATTATAGTATTCGTTTTTACGTTATTAGTGTACTCTGTCGAGTGTTACGACACCCACGGGATGATATGGGGCAGTGGATATTGTTACACCGTCACTACACGGTATAGGTGCATATTAGTAGTGTGGCATGGAGTAGGCGCGGGGTTACCTGTGGTGCAGGCGGCGCCGTCCGCGTTGCCGCCGGCCACGGACCACGGCCGCGCCCGCCCCGCCGCGCGCGCGCACCCGTTGCCTACACACGCACACACGCGCGTCACACTCACACTCACACGTCGCACGCCACACGCCACACGCCCGCACACGCGCACGCGCACGCGCCAAACGGTCACTCGGTACCGCTGGCGCGCGACGCTGCGTTACAAGCCTTATATGGATAAATACTCAAACGATGCTCAATTTTGAAATGTCGTAAACCTCGTGGTGTCACACTTACTTTGACTTAAAGTGATAGAGACAGCACTAGATTTAATGGCGTCTTAAAATTGAGCAGCGTTTGAGTATTTTGGGCAATACTTACCAATGTGACGCCGACAAGAGATTACATCAAAGCGAAGCACACTTCCGTAATTACCATGAATAATTAATTATGGAAAGAAAACAATCGATACTTGAAGCAGTCTTTATTAACAAAATATTTACTTATTAATCATAATTAAGAAATCCCTTGAGTATATGAATGTAGTGGATATGCATAATCTTATTGAAAATATTTTGAAAGTAATTAATTTTTCTGTCTATAAAATTTAAGTAATTATCTTTTTTTATAATTTGACTTCGAAACTACATATAAATTTAATAGAATATAGTGATTGTGATATGTTTCATTTTAATCAATTCTTGACTGTATTGACTTAAAAAAAAAATAGAAAATTTTCAAACAATATAATAATACTTAAGTATTTAATTTTTATAATGATGATAAAATACTATATTTAAAATCCCAAAACTGTAAATGAATGCTATTTTAGTCCCCGAAGCTGTAAACGAATGTTATTTTAATCCCAAAGCTATAAAAGTATGTATGAAAATATTTGATACAAACAAGCCACAAATAAGTGTCTTAGGGCCACTCTGAACTAAAAATTTCCTCTTCTGAAATAAATACTATATATTTAACAATTATAAGCTAATCTAATTACCGCTCCTCGTAAAGTTATGACTTTCAAAAGTTTTATTTTAATTGCGACCTCTAATTTGCAGCCATGTTCGTATCGTGTACCCAAACATGTCACAGTAGCGGACGATCCACAACTCACACAAGCTGTGATTAGTGCGTATCGAAGCAGTGTGGTCATTTTTGTTCTTATAATGTTTACTCGGTGAGAGAAGAGATCGTTTGCTCGTGTACCGTAATATAAAAAGAAATGTGTCCGATGCAAGTGTTTGATTCTGCTAACTAATATTTTATTTTAATTCACATAGTAAACTTTTTTCATGTCTATGTATGTAGTTAAAGTTACCAGGCGATCTATTATTTGAAAATATTATTACAATAGTATGAACTATGTTTTTTTAAATATTATTACCGTAATTTTCTAATATAACTGAACAGATGAATCAAATAATTGAAATGAAAACTATTTAAATTTTATTAATGTACTAATTATTTGGGTACTGGGATGGGGTGTTATACTAAAATGAATTTTGTAAAAGACAAAACCTTATTTTTCTACCGACTTCGAAAATCAGAAATGGTACTCAATTCGACTGTATGTCTTTTTTATTGATTTTTTTGTGTGTTACCTCATAACTTTTTATTTGAAAGCTGGTGCTTCTCATATGGTCTCATACAAATTTGATCAAGGTCTGATTATTATTCTTAATAACTTACATTGAAGTCGGTTGTACAAAATTTTTATTTTTTAATTATTCATGGAGAAGATACATGAATAATAAACACAAAGAAATACAGAGAACTACCACATAATTAAAGATTTAGGATACAAAATGTCATTTATTATATTTATGATATTTATTACGTTAATATTGCAATGAAATGTATGTTGAAGTTAGAGCAATCGAACTCTTTAGCATTGAGCAATTATAAAAGCAAGATCTCATGTGTGAGTGCGTGTATGCGTGCTCGTGTAGGCATGTGTGTGCGTTGTTAGTGCCCGTGTGCGTGCTCACCCATAGTGTTGACGTTGTCAGACGAGCGCGAAGGCGGCGGAGTGCCCGGCGCGCGTATGCCCACGTTATCCGACGACTTGCAGCGCGACACTTCTGCTGGAGGAAACGGACCCTCTATATATCACTGTTAACATCCTTTGTTACATACTTGTCTTTTAAAAATAGTAATAGAGCTAAAGCGACTACCGTCTTTTTCAGAGCATAGATGCCATTAAAGTATTCCGTCTTACTCATGAAAATCGACGACAACATAATGTTTGAAGTTGGTTTCACTCTGCAGTATTTTGACATTTCAAACAAAATGAAAACTTGTTTAGAATCGTTGTAATTAGAAACGCGATAAAACCAAAAAGCGACACTCAACGGCAAACATATCCATCTATACGATTTAGCCTGCGAGAGAATGAGATAGAATACATTGTTGACCGCGAACTCAAGAGGTTGTGGGTTCGAAGCCGCCATTCGACTACCGTCTTTTTTTGTTTTTGAATAATATATTTTAGTTAACAAAATTATTAAATAAATAAAATTAACCATATTGAATAAAAATTACTTTATTATACCTATACCACGATCTCACAACTTCATGCTATCTAGCATTTATCACAGTTTAAAGTTAATTGATGTCAAGCGATGCTGCCGCCCACAACTACTATTTACGCCGGCGTCGCAAATATATGCTAGGGGTTGTCACGAAATCGGGAGTAAAATAATTTTGTATATTATAATACTCATTATCATCTATTAAAATTATGTACATACTTATAAATTAAAAACATTTATTGAACAAGATCATTTTTATTAGTACAGTAAAAAATACATTTACAAGTGTTGTACTGCCAAATATTTTGGTGACACTTTCTTTCAGTTTTCGATTGTTAAATTTAATTATCTAGTGTACATACTATTCAGTCGAACAATTTAATTAAATAAAATGAGAGAAAAAAGCACGGCCGCCGTTTGACTCGTTTGACGTCAACTTTACTTAGTAACTCATATAACGTAAAACAGTAATTCACCATTATCGATATTATGTTTTTCGAAAACGGCACTTTGAGGGCATCTACGAATTTTTCTGCCACCAGGGCGGTGCCACTCAAAAATTAGGTGTAATATTTGACAGATTTCATAGCGGGGAAGTTAATTTGTTCGAAAAATGTTAAGGTAAATATTTCTTTCTTTACTATTTGTTTTTATTTAAAGTACAGATATTCATAAAAGTAAAAAAATAAAAAAAGAGTAAAAACATGCAAATGTTTTATATATCTGCTATAGTTGTAGCACGAATGGGTCAGCTCAAACAGGGAAGGCCCACGCTCTCACAGAATACCAACGTAAAATAGTAAGCGTATGGATGATGTGTTTCGTATGGTGTGTGTAGAGAACCGGTGCATCTGCATTTTGATTCTTAATTGATCATGAATGTAGATGTTTATGGGTCACAGCATCCACTTACCATCACATAGACTGTGTGCTCGCTTGTCACCCTTATCTTCTAAAAATAAAAAAAATAAAGAGCAGACCACTGAAACTGATAATCAATTTATTTAACACTTCTCAACTAAATGGCACTGTGTAACAAAAACATCTGATGACATCTGATGAGCGGAAGATTACTACGAGTAGCACTCATTAAATGACAGGGTGGTCTATGTTAAACATTAGAGTTTATAGGCTGTAATGGATGGATGGAGAGATAATTAATACTAAATGGTAATAAACGATTACAATGAATTATTTTCTTAGGAAATCGTTGATATAGTTCGATATAATCAATTCCAAAAACAATTCAAGCAACAACGGAGAAATTTGATTTTTCCTTGTTTGTATACTTTAATATAGTAAAATCTTATTTAATTAGAAACAGTAAATCGATCAAGTTGTTATAATAATTTATCTACTTACCACATTCTAGTAAAACCGGAGTACTTTCGCCAGACGTTACACTATACCTGTAACATTATTAAATAGGTCAAGATATACTCTTCTCGATACTTCAAATACATTGAAATAGGTATTTCAACGTTTAATACATAAAAGTAACATACATTTTCGATAAATAGACACTGGTCGACCGACCGTTCAATAGTGGATAAATATTGAGGAAAGAGAATGACCAAGTCAGAAAAATGGGTAACTTCTATGCACACAAATTGTCTTCATGGCTAATGCCAAGAGCGGCACGAATTCCTTATTATCAAGCGTAATAAAAAATCATATACTTCAGGATTTATTGTAATCAACACGCTTGGCAGGCAAATTTGCGACCACAATACCAGATATTTCGTGCACTTGACGCTCTCTTCAGTAGTCTTAAGTATTTTACGTCTGGCGTAAACGAAGTGGCTATACCATCTCTTTCGAATTTTGACTTTCAGTTATTATGATGTTACGACTATACAGCGAGACAGTACAAACATAGTGTCATCGCGCTGCAGCGTGGGCGAGTGGCGCAGCGGCGAGGGCGAGGCGAGTGACGACAGCGAGTGCAGCGAGCGAGACGTGAGCGGCGTGCGCCCCGACAGTACGTACATAGTGTCATCGCGCTGCAGCGTGGGCGAGTGGCGCAGCGGCGAGGGCGAGGCGAGTGACGACAGCGAGTGCAGCGAGCGAGACGTGAGCGGCGTGCGCCCCGACAGTACGTACATAGTGTCATCGCGCTGCAGCGTGGGCGAGTGGCGCAGCGGCGAGGGCGAGGCGAGTGACGACAGCGAGTGCAGCGAGCGAGACGTGAGCGGCGTGCGCCCCGACAGTACGTACATAGTGTCATCGCGCTGCAGCGTGGGCGAGTGGCGCAGCGGCGAGGGCGAGGCGAGTGACGACAGCGAGTGCAGCGAGCGAGACGTGAGCGGCGTGCGCCCCGACAGTACGTACATAGTGTCATCGCGCTGCAGCGTGGGCGAGTGGCGCAGCGGCGAGGGCGAGGCGAGTGACGACAGCGAGTGCAGCGAGCGAGACGTGAGCGGCGTGCGCCCCGACAGTACGTACATAGTGTCATCGCGCTGCAGCGTGGGCGAGTGGCGCAGCGGCGAGGGCGAGGCGAGTGACGACAGCGAGTGCAGCGAGCGAGACGTGAGCGGCGTGCGCCCCGACAGTACGTACATAGTGTCATCGCGCTGCAGCGTGGGCGAGTGGCGCAGCGGCGAGGGCGAGGCGAGTGACGACAGCGAGTGCAGCGAGCGAGACGTGAGCGGCGTGCGCCCCGACAGTACGTACATAGTGTCATCGCGCTGCAGCGTGGGCGAGTGGCGCAGCGGCGAGGGCGAGGCGAGTGACGACAGCGAGTGCAGCGAGCGAGACGTGAGCGGCGTGCGCCCCGACAGTACGTACATAGTGTCATCGCGCTGCAGCGTGGGCGAGTGGCGCAGCGGCGAGGGCGAGGCGAGTGACGACAGCGAGTGCAGCGAGCGAGACGTGAGCGGCGTGCGCCCCGACAGTACGTACATAGTGTCATCGCGCTGCAGCGTGGGCGAGTGGCGCAGCGGCGAGGGCGAGGCGAGTGACGACAGCGAGTGCAGCGAGCGAGACGTGAGCGGCGTGCGCCCCGACAGTACGTACATAGTGTCATCGCGCTGCAGCGTGGGCGAGTGGCGCAGCGGCGAGGGCGAGGCGAGTGACGACAGCGAGTGCAGCGAGCGAGACGTGAGCGGCGTGCGCCCCGACAGTACGTACATAGTGTCATCGCGCTGCAGCGTGGGCGAGTGGCGCAGCGGCGAGGGCGAGGCGAGTGACGACAGCGAGTGCAGCGAGCGAGACGTGAGCGGCGTGCGCCCCGACAGTACGTACATAGTGTCATCGCGCTGCAGCGTGGGCGAGTGGCGCAGCGGCGAGGGCGAGGCGAGTGACGACAGCGAGTGCAGCGAGCGAGACGTGAGCGGCGTGCGCCCCGACAGTACGTACATAGTGTCATCGCGCTGCAGCGTGGGCGAGTGGCGCAGCGGCGAGGGCGAGGCGAGTGACGACAGCGAGTGCAGCGAGCGAGACGTGAGCGGCGTGCGCCCCGACAGTACGTACATAGTGTCATCGCGCTGCAGCGTGGGCGAGTGGCGCAGCGGCGAGGGCGAGGCGAGTGACGACAGCGAGTGCAGCGAGCGAGACGTGAGCGGCGTGCGCCCCGACAGTACGTACATAGTGTCATCGCGCTGCAGCGTGGGCGAGTGGCGCAGCGGCGAGGGCGAGGCGAGTGACGACAGCGAGTGCAGCGAGCGAGACGTGAGCGGCGTGCGCCCCGACAGTACGTACATAGTGTCATCGCGCTGCAGCGTGGGCGAGTGGCGCAGCGGCGAGGGCGAGGCGAGTGACGACAGCGAGTGCAGCGAGCGAGACGTGAGCGGCGTGCGCCCCGACAGTACGTACATAGTGTCATCGCGCTGCAGCGTGGGCGAGTGGCGCAGCGGCGAGGGCGAGGCGAGTGACGACAGCGAGTGCAGCGAGCGAGACGTGAGCGGCGTGCGCCCCGACAGTACGTACATAGTGTCATCGCGCTGCAGCGTGGGCGAGTGGCGCAGCGGCGAGGGCGAGGCGAGTGACGACAGCGAGTGCAGCGAGCGAGACGTGAGCGGCGTGCGCCCCGACAGTACGTACATAGTGTCATCGCGCTGCAGCGTGGGCGAGTGGCGCAGCGGCGAGGGCGAGGCGAGTGACGACAGCGAGTGCAGCGAGCGAGACGTGAGCGGCGTGCGCCCCGACAGTACGTACATAGTGTCATCGCGCTGCAGCGTGGGCGAGTGGCGCAGCGGCGAGGGCGAGGCGAGTGACGACAGCGAGTGCAGCGAGCGAGACGTGAGCGGCGTGCGCCCCGACAGTACGTACATAGTGTCATCGCGCTGCAGCGTGGGCGAGTGGCGCAGCGGCGAGGGCGAGGCGAGTGACGACAGCGAGTGCAGCGAGCGAGACGTGAGCGGCGTGCGCCCCGACAGTACGTACATAGTGTCATCGCGCTGCAGCGTGGGCGAGTGGCGCAGCGGCGAGGGCGAGGCGAGTGACGACAGCGAGTGCAGCGAGCGAGACGTGAGCGGCGTGCGCCCCGACAGTACGTACATAGTGTCATCGCGCTGCAGCGTGGGCGAGTGGCGCAGCGGCGAGGGCGAGGCGAGTGACGACAGCGAGTGCAGCGAGCGAGACGTGAGCGGCGTGCGCCCCGACAGAGACGCCTCCTCGCTACCCGGCGGCGTGCGGCAAGTGCGCCAAAACTCGTCCAGCCCTGATAGTGTAACAAATTTGCACCTATATTTCTTCAGGTTTGTAAAAAATACATAACAACATTCAAACGTTAGAGCACGTGTCATCTCCCATTTGATAGGAAGAAGGTACTGTTACAGAGAAAAGCCTCCCTGCTGCCATTCCCCATGCATGTTGGAAAACACTCACAAGTCCTCTTATGTTGTCAGTATTATATTATTTGCAAAAAACGTAAATATATTATATTTAACCGGGAAAAAGTATTATATTGTGAATTTAAGTCTATTGAGCATCTTGAGTTGCAGCATAATTGCTTGCATGCGTTCGAAAATCATATCTGATGAACATGTAATAATGAAAAGTATCAACAATACATTGAATACAGATTATGCCATACGAAAACGTCAACATGGAAAATATTTATTGTTCGTTATACTGCTTTTGTTAACTTACTTTGGAAACTTACTACTTCGGAACTAAACATTCGTAATAACATTTTGTTTTGATGTTGATATATTATCTATACAATGCATGTTAATCATTTGGATAAATTTACAAATTGAATCGCATACTCCTGAATAGATGTCGTAAAAATAGATACAAAAATGACAAAAATAAAACACATTAATTATTGTAATACCTATATAATTTCATTACTATAACCATACCCCATACAGGGAACAGGAGTAGTGTCAAAAACGAGTAGTTCCTTCATGTTCTCTGGTTAGTAAGGTTATGTTATGTAAACCTTATCTACCAGTCTGTCCATAATTCTTACGACAAATGTTTTATTTTTAAAATTTTTAGTTTAATATACTTATTGATTTATTTCATAGCTCTCCAAGGATTGTACAAATTGTAGCCGGAATACCTTACAAAAGTGAAACTTCCCTTTTTAGAAAAAAAAAATACATGTACTCTTTTTCTGGTCAGTTAGAGTGAGAGCAGTAGAAGATTAAAAACAAATACATTACCTTCATCAATATCTTGAGATTGGTCTGTTATAGGCCGAGTAGGAGCTCTCGTCTTTGCTCTTCTAGGGCGTCCTGTAATATTTTATATAAAAGTTTATACCATTATATAAATAGTTATATAATCCACAGCCTGACATATGGTTTCTCGAAGGAGGGTTTGCTATAATCGCCACGCTTGGTATAGCAATATCCCGCTCTTTTGACACACTTTCTATTACTACTAAAACTATTATTACTGTTTTAATATTAGATATTTAATCCTGAATTTAAAAGGACACATGATATTTTCCGTTACAATTATTTCATTCCATTACAGCAGATCAAAAGTCCACCGCTGAATATAGGCCTCCTCCATAGATTGCCACAGGGAGGATATTGTCGTAGTTGCCACGTTTGGTACGCCAACGCAGTTTTTATTATTTTGAGTTGTTGTTAGAAAAATGCTGCTGCCCGCCTCTTGTTTCAGTTTCACTCCGTCGCCTGTTACGACACTCATGGCACAGTAATGAATGTCTTTATACAACCTCTATATGGTTAACAAAATTTTAATTTAAACCATAGAAGTGGGTGGTTATCAGTTAGAAGATAAATTTTAAAATGTCGGTACATCATATTAGTAACACGAATAAAGAATATTTAAGCTCTGAACTAGACAACAGTGGTGGTGTAAGTATCGTCGCGTGTTTGTCGTAAAAGGCGACAGAGGGAAACTCAAACAGGATGTAGGCAGCAGCATCTTCTTGATAACAGCTTAAAATGATAAAAAAAAACTGTGGTTGCTAACCCGCCTGACAATCGTATCAACTATGTCAAATAACCCCACTTATGATTCAATCTATGGAGGAGGCCTATGTTCAGCAGTGGACGTTTATACGTTGTAATGGACGGATGGATGGAAGCTTCAAACTTTAGAGCGTGAAGATGTCAGTAAAGCCCAATTAATTTTAAAAGAGTAGGTAGCTTTTTAAGTGGTAGAGCCAAGCAGTAGCTATATTGTGATTGCAGCACGAATGGGTCGGCTCGACCGGGGTAGAACCACGCTTGCACAAAATACCAGCGTAAAATAGCAGCTCAATGCTGTTGTGTTTCGTATGGTGAGTGTAGAGAACTGGAGACCCTTTTTACTGGAAACGAGGCATTCCATCTCAGTCCTCAGGGGTGGCGGAGCATCTGCATTTTAATTCTTAATTGAGGATAAATGTAAATGTCTATGAACCACAGCATCCACTTACCATGAGATGGACTGTGTGCTAGTTTGTCACGCTTATTCTATAAAAAAGGTATATATAAATAAAGGTGTGTGCCTTTGACGAGGTGGCGCAGCGTGTGCGCGGGCAGGTCGGCGAGCGCGTCGGCCGCCTCGGCGTGCAGCGGCGGCAACGACAGCATCTCGTTGCTGCTGCACTGCTGCTCCGCCACCGACTTGGGCCGCACGCGCCGCGCGCCGCGCTCGCGCCGCCGCCCGCCCAGCGGCGTCGCCTGCGCACCCACCCGCACACACACACACACACGTAACTCCTTGTTCACGTAACTCGCGCCAAGGTGGCGAGCGCGCTCACCAAATATCAAACACATAGCATTATATACAAGTGTTCACGTACAAAACGCAGGTGCGGTGGAAGTAGCGGGCAAACTGGCGACTATCGCGCGCGGCGCCATCGCGGCAATATCAAACGAATGAAGTTGTTTGTGCGTGTTCACGTCAAACTAGCAGCGGAGCGCGCGATTGACTCAAGACTTCAGGTAAAATGAACTTGTCGCTACAAACGATCGACCATTCAACTCAATGGACTCGCCTCGCGTGATTATTCCCCTCTGGCAGTTTTCTTTCTTTATTAATTTCGTGTACACCAATTCTACTTTTTGTCATCTCCCACTTTAGGTAAGAATTTTCGATTAAAAATAAAAGTTCGTCGTCCATGTTCACAACCTCTGACAACACGTTACACTCGCGCAAACGCCTGGCGGCCAACGTGAACACGAGCTCACCCAAACCACCGCACCCACTGTCACCCCCGCGCCCGCAAGTTCTACGTGAACAAGCACTTACACTCCGCAGGGAACTTTCTTTGTCACCCGAACTTACTCTTTTGACGTGAAACGTTTTTAAAATCACACCGAGACATACGGGTACCAAGTCAGAAGAGTGAAAAGTGACGAAAGGTTCTATATCGTTTTGCCTTAATAATTACGCTGCTCAATTTTAAGATGCCGTTAAGTCTTTGCGCTTTGCTCTATCACTTTAAGTCAAAGTGACTGTGGCACCACGAGACTTAACGACATATTAAAATTAAGTAGCCTTTGAGTATTTGACCATTAGAGACGTAAGAGCAGTATCATCATTTAACTTATGTAGCCAACGCGTTGTTACGACCTTTGAGTATCTGTCGAGGCAGATTTACGAGGAAAAGGCATTGCGCAGATTAGCCTAAAGCCGTGTGTCGATTACGCGCTCCTAGCGCGCACGCCATTAATGACCGAGCCGACCAGTACGCTCCGCGAAATACGTTCCAAACGTTCGAAGTATATCAACTAAGCACTCTTGGCGCGCGTAGCAGCTGTTCCAGTGTTTGAACGTTTAACATGGATGTGTACGAGCAGCTGCCGCTTTCATAGTGCTCTCCATGCACCTTCTCTGAACGCTTTATTATGATAACAAGTGGTAAAATAAAAAAAATATACCACCGAATTTAATAAAATAACTCAAAATCTGCTGGTCAGACCTTAATCAATATGGGACCACATGAGAAGCACCAGCTTTCAAATAATAAAAGAATCATTAAAATCGGTTCACCTAGAAAAAACGTTATGAGGTAACACATTAAAAAAACATACAGTCGAATTGAATACCTCCTCCTATTTGAAGTTGGTTAGAAATGACTTGCTATTCCACAGCAGTTCTTTTGAACCATATAACTTTACCAATTTACGGCAACTTTGGTTATCCATAGCTCGGAACGCAACGAACACACGAATGATGAAAACAACCGTCCTAACTTGCGCGCGCGCCAAAACTTAACTACTTTGATACGCGGTAAAAAAAACCGACACCAAATGGAACGGCCCGCTCGACGTTTGAGCGTTCCAAGGTGGTATCCATTTCACGCGGCTGGAAAGCGCGCTAATCTTGGAGCGCATATTCGATATGCGGCTTAAATCAGCGCCTTCGCTCCTTATATTTTGTACAATTCAATAGATTCAGAAGTCTGTCATATTTTCATTTCAATTTTTAACACTAATAGCTACTCTCGCTGACAAACGTTTCCAGCGCCTGACTTGATTTTTTTTAAATTTAATAATATACACAGGCCTCTTCAAAAATGTGTCAACTGCCAATCAAAGATTTTCACTAATTACCTTTACTCATAATGTTGAACAAGCGATTAATAAATGCAAAGCGGATATTATCACACTGGTACCATCTATATTCAACGTTTCTAGAAATAATTTATTGGCGAAAACAAATACTCTTCTAAAAATATAATTATGAAATAGATCGATGTAGCGCCAAAATGCCGTACAACACTTATGCGACAAATAATTAATTTTGTAGAACAACTGCAAAAGCGAAAAATTTCACTCCACAAGATTATCTTAATTAAGAAAATTGAAGCAAAAGAAAATAACAAATATAAAAAAATCTGTTAAATTGAAATATAGATGTTTGCTTACCAAATTTAAATAATCCAATTTCTTGGCATGAGAAAAAACATTAAAATTAAATCACCTATATGATAAAAAATGTTAATAATGGCGATAACTTCCAAATCATCGGTAAGTTATCATATAAGAAGATACTGCCGTGCCACAACATAAAACACAGAAACAAAAAACGTGGAGAGCCACGCTGCATCTGTATTATGGCTGGAATGAATGGATCAGTTTGACTGGGGAAGGTCCACGCTCTCGCAGGATTCCAGCACAAAATAACAGCATATTGCTGTTGTGTTTCGTATGTGTAGTATGTCGTATGTTTAGTGTGTAGACAACAAGACCCTTTTTATATATATCGTTACATTTCAAGGTGGCAACGTATCCGATTTTTAATTGATGATACATTAGGTGTGGTATGGGCCCCACAGCATCCACTTACTGTCAGGTGAACTGTTTGCTCACACATAGAAACACAGCCACTCGTCGTAATATACACAACACTGAAGCAATCACTCGTCCTAATATACCTAGTAGGCTAGGGAAAATCCATCACACTCACAAATGCCATGGATTATAATAGGTAATTTACTACACGAAATATCATCATCATCATCATCATCATTACAGCCCTTCACAAGTCCACTGCTGAACATAGGCCTCCCCCAAAGAATGCCACAAAGCACGGTCCTGAGCCACCTGCATCCATCGACTTCCTGCAAATCTTACCAGGTCGTCACTCCATCTAGTGGGGGGACGCCCTACACTTCGCCTGCCGGTACGAGGCTGCCACTCGAGAACCTTTCTTCCCCATCGGGTGTCGGTTCTTCGAGCTATATGGCCGGCCCATTGCCACTTCAGCTTACTAATCCGTTGGGCTATGTCGGTCACTCTGGTTCTACTGCGGATATCCTCATTTCTGAGTTTATCACGCAGAGAAACTCCGAGCATAGCCCTCTCCATAGCTCGCTGAGCAACCTTGAGCTTCCTCATCCGGCCAGCAGTGAAGGACCACGTCTCAGTTCCGTATGTCATCACTGGCAACACGCACTGGGTGTACAGTCTCGTTTTCAAGTTTTGAGGTATACCTGACGAGAAGATGTGCCGTAATTTCCCGAACGCTGCCCAACCGAGTTGAATCCGTCGATTGACCTCTCGGTCGAAGTTGGACGAAATATCAAATGTTGGAAAATTAGAAAAATGCATGAATATATACCGACATAATGCCGGTTTTTTTGGCAACGAAATGAACCTGCCAAACAGCCATCATCAAAGAAAACCACTGTCTATCGTGATAGAATATTATTTAAACAGTGATGAAGAAGGAAAAAGAAAATTTTGTAAATAAAATGTCTTACCCCGGAATGTGAAATTGGTGTGAGCAGGTCAGGTATATCAGCTTCAGAACTTGGCGTCGGTTCAATATCCACATTGTCCACACTCTCACAAGCCGCAAGTGCTAAGCTTTCCACGGCTTCACTGAAACAAGTATTATGAAGTGTCAAGATGGAAGATATAATAAAAATATGTATAAACAAAATACAAATATACAAAAATTGTTATTAAAAATATATATTACATTAGAAGTTATTACTCTTCTAAAATTATGAATATACTTTATTATCAGCATCATCATCATAACAGGATATCACAAGTCCACAGCTGAACAAAGGTCTTCGACAAAGCACAGTCCTAAGCCACCTGCATCCATGGACTTTTATCTCTTACCAGGTCGTAACTCCATCAAGTGGCGGGGCCGCCATACACTTCGCTTTTTTTATAGAAGAGGGGGCAAACGAGCATGCGGCTCACCTGATGGTAAGTGACTACCGTCGCCCATGAACAACCGCAATAACAGGGGAATTGCAGGTGCGTTGGCGGCCTTTTAGAAAGGAGTAAACTCTTTTCTTGAAGGTCCCTAAGTCGTATCGGTCCGGAAAAATCTCCGGTGGTGGTAAATTCCACAGAGAAATTGTACAAGGAAGAAAACTCCTAGTAAAACGCACAGTGGTGGACCGCCAAGGATCCAGATGATAGGGATGATATCGTGAATTTTGACGCGATGTGCGTTCGTGAAATTTGACGGCTGAAATTAATCCGAACAATTCCTCAAAACACTCCCCGTGGTAGATTCGATAGAAAATGCAAAGGGATGCAACATACCTATGCAGCGCCAGTAAATCAAGCCGATCAGAAAGAACTCGGTCGTCGACAATTCGAACCGCTCTGCGCTGGATGCGGTCAAGTGGATGGAACTCGCACTGGGGTGTCCCGGCCCAGAGATGAGAACAGTATTCCATATGAGGCCGAATTTGCGCTTTGTAAAGTTGCCACCGATGTGCCGGCATGAAATACTGTCTCGCTCTGCTAAGCACGCCAAGCTTTTTAGAGGCCAATTTGGGCTTCCCTTCCAAGTGAGCACGAAACTGCACGCTATTCGATATGTCGACGACGAGATGCTAGCTGAGGCAGCAAAGGGAGTGCCTTGAAACTGAGGAAATACGACAAATGGGCTCTTTTTAGTAGTATACGCTCAAACTTGAACTGGATTAGATTTAGTCGCCCCCAATCCAAGACTTTGTTCAGCAAAGACTCGACTTCAGACACAAGTTTGTCCCGGTACTCGGCGATGTTGTCCCGAGAAATATTGGCACGGCCGGTATATAAGGCACCACCAGTGCTGTCGTCTGCACAGCAATGAATGTTACCAGTTTGCAACATATTATCATTGATATATAGGAGAAACACAGCGTTGGTGATAGCACTTAGCCTTGTGGAACACCAGCGTTAATAGGCTTGTAATCAGAGCATGCACCGTCTACTACCACCTTGATGCTCCGATCAGCAAGGAAACTGGTGATCCATTGGCACAATTTCTCGGGAAGCCCATAGGAAGGGAGCTTCGAAAGAAGCGCTTTGTGCCAGACCCGATCGAAGGCCTTCGCTATGTTCAAATTAACGGCCAATGCCTCCCCCTTGGACTCTACTGCCTCCGCCTATCTATAAGTCAGGTAGACCAGAAGATCACCAACTGATCGACCCCAACGAAAACCGTACTAGCGGTCACTAATCAGCTGGTGATCCTCAAGGTATTATTATGGAGAACAAGGAGGTGATGGCGATAGGCTTGTAGTTAGACGGGTCTGAGCGGTCGCCTGGACCAAAGCTGTCTTCAATGAATTCGAGACTACGCCTTGGGAGTAGGAGTACCGGAAAAGACGCGTTAAAATCGGTACCAACTCCGGAGCACACGTCTTCACCACAATGGGAGGGACTCCGTCAGGCCCACTGGACTTGCTGACGTCCAGGGGAGTGAGTTTGCGAACCGAGCGCTGTGTAAACCGCACATCCGGCATGGAGCACTCACACTGCGGGATGGTCGGCAGTGTGATCCCCCGTCATCAAGAGTCGAGTTGGACGCAAAGAGAGAGCGTAACAGCGCAGCTTTCTCATTTGCGGCATGGACCAGTGAGTCGTCCTCTCTGTGCAGAGATAGAAGAGATGGCTGACAGAAGTTCCCTTGGACAGCCTTGGCGAGAGATCAGAATGCACGGGTTCCCGAAGGAAGGCGAACTAGCTTCTCACCAATTATGCCGATGTGATCAGACCTTGCCTTGGCAATAACTCTTTTGAAAGACCTGAAGGCGGAATTTTACTTCTTTTTAAGAGCGCTGGTGTTTACATCTCGAGAGGTTGATGCGTCAACCCAGGCCCGGTAGCACTATCGCTTACAGGTACGATGCTACCACTCCAGAACCTTTCATCCATATCGGTTGTCGGTGCTTTGAGCTACAAGGCGGCCCACTTCTTAATTAGCTTACTAATCAGTTGGGCTATGTCGGTTACTCTGGTACGCACTCTCAGCTCAATCTTCTATGTAATTTGGGATGGTACTCTTCGGTCTTCTATACAAGTTGCCGAAGTGTGTTTATGTTGTCTAAGCCTTATTATAATATTTATAAAACCACTTTACACTGATAATTGAACATTTAAAATGTAATTCTTGCATTGCATCAACTTAAAAAATTATTCTCCCAAAATGTTTCGATATCTTCGTCAGTTGTGTGCTTCTGAAGTTGTCGCTTTAATTCTTCTACACACTATGTCTTAGCACCTATTTCAGAAGTTTATTCCTTTTAATTCTAGTTCTAATCGGATTTTACCTTTTATTAAAAATTTAATCTTTCTTTTTTATAAAATTTAAATAAACTAGAGTTAAATTTAGTAAGTAAATTAACTGTGAAAAAATTGGATTGTCGCATCCAATTTGTTAGGCAATGCTGGGAGATAGTTTTATTTATTTGCTTGTTTTAATATTTATTATCCTAAATCATGAAAATCGAAATGAAATTGTTTTTGGTTACTGGTACAAATTTCTGCTTATACCGTTGATACTAAAATTGGGATGATGATTTAATAAGAATAATCCAAGAATAAATATCATTAAGTTACAAATTTTTAAAATTATTTACTCATTATCACAGAATAATTGTACAAGAACAGAAGGATTCCTCGCTGATAGCAAACTTGCGGGTTTAAACCTAGTTATATCATCGTTAATGTTCATAATACTTTGCACGCCCCGGACACGACCTTCGTGAAATTAGCCTACCGATTAAATCGTCGAAAACAAAATTACTGCGGCACGCGTATTAAATCAAAATGCACCTTACGTACGCGTGCGAAAGTCTGTATAACTTAGCCCGTTACGCGCCTTTGTTAAGGCCGCACCTACTGTAGGATTAAGTGTTGTGAGAAAACAAATTGAATCCTTTGATATCAGTTGGTAGTAGAATATATTGTTACGCGCCACTATTAACGTCTTGTACATGGCGACACTAGTTACACAAGCGCCCCCTAGTGTCGAGTAAATGAAAGTATTGCGCGCCACTATTAATGTCTTGTACATGGCAACACTAGTCACACTAGCGCCCTCTAGTGTCGAGTAGCAGAACTAGGAGAGTCGAGATCCTTCCAGAAATTTCGGGACCGATATGTACTCGAACATTCTAGATGTCGCTACAGTTGAAGGTTCTGGAAACTATCTGAGGCCCTATATAAGACCGGTATAGACCACGACCGGGGCAGTATTGAATTGGCGATACAAGAGAATACTTCGAAGCGAAATAACGGCGAACTGTGTTTTATTATTAGTGTGTTTTAAGGTGTAATTAGTATCCGTAATTAAAGTGTCAATTTTGGTAATTTAATCGGCAGTTTTTAATTGTCTCGAACCTCAAGCTCGTAACAATTGGTGTCAGAAGTGGGATCAAATATGCCGATTTTACCTAAAGACGACACGGAGGGTATCCGTACCCGAAGTCAACGCCAACAGGAGACGGACCAGAGACGATTTGGTAATGCAACGCCGCAAACGTCGGAGGGCCAGTTGCTAACCACGGAGGCTGGCCCGTCAGCAGCTCCTGCATCTGCAGCACCTGACTTAGGTGCTCTGATGATGATGCTGCAGGATCAGGCTCGCCGACAGGAGGAACAGGCCCGCCGACAGGAGGAACAGGCCCGCCGACAGGAGGAACAGACCCGTCGGCTGGAAGAGCAGCTGCAGCGCGGTATGGAAGAACAGATGCTCCTCAGGAAGGACCTTCACGCTACCTTCGGGAAAGAGATAAAGGAGGTGAAGGATAGGGTTGCTCAACATGACAACCGCCTGTCGGAAGCTGAAACCCGAATCGACCAAGTGAACAATCGGGTTGACAACGTGATGGCTGATGTGAAGAAAACGCTGGACGACCTCAAACTTGGGGATGGAGTTACAGCTCCCGTGGTAGCTACAACACCTTCGCTACGTGGATTCAAAGTGCCGCCGTTCGACGGGACTTCTTCCTGGTCGGCCTATAAAATCCAGTTCGAGGCTGTCATGAAAGCGAACGGCTGGAATAAAAGTCAGGCCATGACTGCTCTCACCCTAGGCCTGCGCGACCACGCATTAACTGTTCTGGAAGCTCTCGGTAAGGAAGTGACTTACGAGCAGCTCCTTGAGGCATTGGAGGCGAGATATGGCGACGCTCACCTGGAACACGTCTTTCGTGCGCAGCTCAAAGATCGCGTGCAACGCAGTAACGAAAACCTGCAGCAGTGGGCCCTTGAGGTGGAGAAGCTGGTTCGAAAAGCGTACCAGTCTGTACCTGCGCTTATTGTAGGGAACCTGGTGCAGACATTCATCGACGGCATCCGTGACCTTGAAGTCAGAGCTGCTGTGAGGCTCGGGCACCACGAGACGCTTAAGGACGCCTTGACCCATGCACTGGAGGTGGAAGCCGTGCGGCAGGATCATCGTTCTCACCGCGTCAGGGAGGTTGCAACAGCTAAAGTTCAGGACCGCAATAAAAGCTACAGCCCTAGGTGCTACGGCTGTGGAGAAAGGGGCCATCTTCGATCCAGCTGCCCTAAGCGAACTGTAGGAAGGGAAGGTGATCGATCTCGAGAGGGTAGTGCGGATAATAGCACCGCCCAGCAGC